CCTAATAATTAACAAAATTTCGATGTCAATAGATGCCCCCTCGAGACTCGTTGCGGAGATTTGATATCGGATGCAACTTGGTCTCGAAATTTTCTTGTAGAATTTGAAAGCAAATTTGACATGCCCCCATTATTTCTACGAATTTTTATACTTGAAGAGTGGAGATGAAGAGCGAAAACTGTCCCACCAAGCGTGTCAATTTGTAAACCATAAAAATTTAAACCTGCAATATTTAAACATAAAGGTAGAAAATATACGGGAACAATTATTTTATTGATAATTTGTAGGTTACAACTCTCGTAGATCTCTTGATTCCTCTCTTGAAAAGGTTAGGGTTTTGATATGTGTTTATAGTACGGGGCTTTCTCGGCTAATCCGCACTTTATACCTACAGTGTTTGGTAGTAGGGAGGAGATGGGGTCTTTGTGACTTATTTCATCTTAGCTTCATTAAACCCTAAAAACGACCCTCTTTATATAGAGTGTCATAGTGTAGTAAACAAGATATCTATCAAATATTCTACGAGATCTTGAAGATAATATCATTATCTCCTTATTTACATATATCTGACACCTAATAATTAACAATATTTCAGTGTCAATAGTGACTCGATCCAAAATGATTCCTTACCCAAACCGATTAAGAAGTCTACATACCGTAATAAAATTATTTTAATCAATTAGAATATATTATAAATGGATGTTGTAGTTTTGAACTATTTCTTTTGCTCCAACAAATGTTATGATATACAAAATAAATTTATATGATAATTGTTAACACCTATAATCTAATATTATTTTGAATAAATTATAATCCAATTTGTACAAAAGTTTTTTTTTTTCTTTTTAAATTATCCTAAAATTCTATCCAAATTTGATTGAAAATAGATATTTAAACTAACTTTTTTATCACATGAAGTCTATATAAATCTATCTAAAGTGACACGACACTTGGCGAAATGTTAGAACGTCATGTGTCGTTGTCTTGTGGTCTGTCTAAAAGTTTAGCTTTATAGATTAGTTATATGATATGATCTGCTGTTGTAAAAAAAAATCATTACAATTTAAAATTACCCTTAAAGGGGTTTAAGTTACCATAAAAATTGTTCAAATTACCCTTAAATTGATCATCTTACTACCTCTGTTACATATTAGTCACAACTTTGCAATATTTTATCCCTCACAAATAATACCCAAAGTTGCAACTAATATGTAACGGAGGTAGTACAATAAAATTAACATAAGACTGGCTTAATACGAAATGAAAAGGAAATATCTATTTTTCAATAATGTTTGTGAGTGTTTGAGGCAATGAGAAATAAAGATATGATCTTGGATCAAGATCTCTAAGAAAAACACTAAAATTATCAAACACTAAGTAATGATTATCTAGAAAAAAAAACTTGATTAACTAGTCACAAAGTCTAGAGAAATAAGGGTTTCATTCTAATAAACTACAAAGTTTGATAAAAGATTAAGGTTTAACCACAAAGGAAAGATCACAAGAACTCTATAAGAAGATCTATTAAATATATTTTAGTGATTTCTACCTTATGAGATTTGGTAGATGGATTTCAAAAACACTTTCTTGAAATGGTTTATGAAAGAAGATTTGTATATGATACAATCAGAATAGTTTTGAAAATCAAATAACCCTAAAGGATGTATAAGAGGTTCATTTATGGATCAAAAAAAGCATCATGGAGTTAGTATTCTTAATTTTGTGAGTTTATCAAAATTGTTTGATGTTCTCATAAAATGAAGATGTTATGTATACAAGACATTTAGTGGGAGCTATGAAGTCTTCTTGGTCTTTAGAAAGAGCAATTATTCATTGCTTGAAGAGTCAAGTTATGGCTAATGCATTTTGTTTAAAAAACCTTGAAGAGGAAGATGAGTACAGCTGGGATTCAAGACCTATTGAGATAGTTTTTGAAGGATGTTTGAGTTTGATTAAGAAGCTCATATTGATAAGATTCTTATGAGGTTCAACATTATATTGAAAAGAATTTCAATCCCATATAACATGGCACATTGCTAGATGATTTAATACTTTGAGAAAGGTTGATGAAATTAAGGTTTTGAGTGATGCTCATTATGCATTTTGCAAAGGATGCATCATGCATGTCATGGACTATAATCGTCTATTTGATTCACGTGTTTTAAGAACAAGTGATGATAGACTTCAATCGAAATCCAATATAACAATGGAATACAATAAGAAATTTCTAATTACTAGTAAAAGGATGAAAGAAAGTTCTTAGTGTATGGAGATAAATATTATTATTAAAATTTATAAGTTGAAAATTCATATTTATGAGAATATCTCATGAATTAAACCTACTAAACCCCTTCCATAACTAAGGTATGAGAGTCATATTAAGGTTCTTGGATTGAAGCAAGTTATGTAATTTAAGTTGTGTATGTTTTTAGAAAACATATTACATAAGTAATACATTAACTTGCAGAATTATGTTTATCAATTGAAATAAAGTTTCAATCTTATTTAATTATGGTTTTTGAAATTAAATAAAATGTCCAAAATAATTATGAATTGATGGGCTCATCAGGTTATCAACCTGGTGAATGAAACCCCACAGGTGAACTGAATTCATACATTATTTAAGTTCCTAGTTCGAAATCATTAAAGTGGACATAAATGATTTCAATGAATGGACTAGCATTTAAGATTGATTGGATAGCGCAGTTTAATGGGCTATATAGTAATGCTCGGTTAATCACATAGATATGCATGAATGATGCATGATCGAACTATTGACCTACTTTGAAGTTCAAGCATAGAGCTTCCGGATATATTAGTGGATTCCTTTGACATGAGTGGAACATTGATTTCACTCAATGATTTGTTTGACTGTGGTGCATTCAAACGTCTACCCGTAATTGGAGATTATAAAGGGTGTTTCCTGGTTATTTCAATAGTTGAGTGGGAGCTTTGGTTGCCACAAGATTGGATTGAGTCTACCTATCGCGACATGAAGAGGGAGAATTCAGTAAATGTGTGGCCGCGCTCAAATGTATTACTCAGTAATCATTTGTTTTGTAATTCTAACCAGATTTCAAGAAACGATTTGTAGATTAATATGATCACGACATGAGATGCAATCATATTATCAAATTGACACATATTGACTTAAGGAATTTGAATATTGCACACTTGTCTCAGACAAGTGAGAGATTGAAGGATTTATGTCTTCGTCAAGTGCAATTACTAGATATATAAATGGATCAAATTATGGAGATAATTAAGTTCGTTCTTTTGGGTCGTCATTATCTGTTGCTAGACGTGATAAATGACCTTAAGGCTAGTCAAATAGCCCAAAGTCCAATAGAATGGATCCAATAAGGTCACACAAAAGGGTGTTGGATTGAACAAAAGAAAGAAGCCCATTATTGGGCCTCATGGAATGGCCAACCATATGGGTTGTGAAGGGAGAGTATTTTGTGCTTGGAATCTAATTATACATATGATGTATAAATAGAGGCCTTGCCTAGGGTTTGAGAGAACACAATTAGCAGTCAATTGAGAATAGACTTCCTAGCAACCAAACCCTAGCCTCACGCACATACTCTCTCCTCTTCCCTCATGACTGCACACGTCGGTGGTGTGTGTGGTGCACGGTGGTGGTTGTGGTTGTTCGTGGCTCAGTTTTATCCTCCCCTCTCTGTAGAAGGTGGTTCGAAGTGTTCGTGCCCAACTACCTAGCAGTAGTGGAGGTTCAATCCTATCCCGTGGACTAAGTAGAGGAGCAACGCTTAGGGCTCTCTTATCTCCCTGATTTTCAGTCAATTGCTTGTGAAAATTACGTGTCAAAGATATGTATTATGTGATTCTTTATGTGTTATGCTTGTAGATCCTGTTTAGGTGCAAACGAATATGATTCGTGAAATTCCTTATTAAAATACCTAAAACCCTTCAAAACTAACTCTAAGCGACAACTTGATAAAAAAATCATGTCATGCGACATTAACAAAAATTATAGAAAAGTTTCCGAAAAATTATCCGCAAATTCTTAATTCAGTTCTTTTTTGTGGTTTCTTACCTGATTTTCCAACCCCTTTTTTTCATAATTATCAATTTGAAGAGAAGTTATTGGGTAAATATCATTTTTCACTTAATTTTCCTACCCCTTATTAACGATTTTTTTTTCTTGAAAAGGGTTTAAAATAAATATGATATTCGAATTTACAAGCAAAATAAAAGGAGATGACATATTAATTTAAATTAAATGGGAAAAAAATTAATAAACACAATAACAAATTAAATTAGGAAATTTTAAGACTTTATAGAATTTTTTTTGATATTTTAGCCAAAATATCGCCCGAGATTAATTCATTTACCAGATTGTCGCATGGAGTTAACTTTTTTTACCATATTGTTGTCAGAGTTGTTTTTTTACCAAATTGTCGCTATGAGTCTTTTTGATTTACCAATCTGGTCAATTGGCTCTAGGGAATGATGTTGTACTTTGTTATGTGTTGCTTTTAATCTAGTATTCTAATTTTAGTTTCTACCAATAAAATAAAAACAGAAATTTCAAATCCATTATGATACATATTCTAAAATTTTATAAAAACTGATATGAATTGGAACAAGACCGATTTTATATGAAATTTTCTATGGAATTTAGTATGTTAGCGTTTTCGGCCATGAATGTGTAAGGTTCTTACACGATAGAAGTTATCACTGCCCCTCCTAGCGCCAATTGTTCGTATATACTCCAATAACGTACTCATGTCTAGGATTCGTAAAGACCTATCGTCAAACTAAGCACCTACACAATCAAGATCTAACCCCGGGGTTTGACAAGGGTTAACACACTTCGACTGTAAAGTCAATTTCAAGTTTATAATTGTTACACCCTAGAAATTCCTTTCCTTTAAATACCTATTCTACTCTTTTAAAAATACGATTTAGGAATAACTAAGACATTACCGCCACCGTGAAAACGGTTAAGACAATTATCAAAGATACACAGCGGAAGACTCAAAATTAAAAACCGATTAAACAAGTCAACCCAAAGTCAACAAAACGAAAATAAAGTTTAAAACCAAACGAACTAGTCAAATAAAATCAAACTATAACTTGGAACCATTAAAGGCCCTTATTAAAAAACGTTCCCAAAACCAAACCTTTGTGTTAGTCCATACAAAATATATCATAAATAGATAAAGCATAAAACACCTTGTAACCTAATGAAAACTAGTAAGATTCACTCTTCTCTCATGCCCCATCATGCTCATGCTTCAATGCCTGAAAATTTATCTCTACTTGTTTCCACTACTCTCCATTAAAAATGGGTCATCATAGGGCCAAGATAAAGATATGGCCAAATACACAAACACACATAATCAGCAAAGCTTAGTACATAAGCGTAAATAAGCCACACTAACATGCTTTCACCTATCAACACACACTTACCTCATTGCACCTGTTCACAAGCACACACACCAATCAACAAAACACAATGACTATACACTAATTAATTCATTTTGCATTGATTACGCATCGAACAGATTTCCACCTCCTAACCTCCCCCAAATAAATTTGAGGTTAACTGACACGGGAGCTAACCGTGCCAGCGACAAAACCACTCAAAGGTGGCGGAATTCCTGCGCATAATTATAAATAAAAAAAAAGGAATATACAACGTCCTGTACTCTATTAGAAGTTATGGTTAAATATAAAACCCCATAACTCCCCCCATTGTTCATACTCAAGGTATATACGTTCCAAGAGTTTTGGTGCGTAATCTCTTTCACTTTACGTTATTTACTTATTATTAGACTTGGTGATGACTCTCAAAGCATAATAAGTCAATCAACAATAATTATTCAATCAAACAAACATACCAATTTAATTCTTGAATAATTAATGACCACATATTATTTATTGTTGAACCCCTTTTTAATTCTACCACAGTGTCAAAGACACCTTAAACGCATAATGCGCCAAAAATCCTATCCCTCGGTGTTACAAACACCTTAAGTGCACAAAGGCACCAACATACAATTTATTCCTTGTGTACATAGACACTTATATAGCTCCTTCCTCATGCTTAAAGCATCAATAACATTTATTTGAACCATAATAAAATTCCTTTTCAATATTCCAAACATAATTAAACATGTAGTTTAATTAATCATGCCTTCTAACATGCCATAAATAAAAATGCGGTTCAAACACAACATGCCCAAATATAATCTTCCAATCTATAACCATCACAAATAATTCATGCTTTCCAATTCAACCACAAACATCATAAATTCACAATTCCATACATAAACCTTAGCATGATACTACTTGTAATTAATTGAAATCAAACCTAGCATGATCCTACATCACCAAAATATGCTAAGCACGCGTACGTACCTCAATTAAGCTCTTGAAATGGTCAATTACACTACAACACCTCTCGAACCAATTCTCCTACATAAAGGGACAATAAACCTATATTAATTACCTTAGTATACACAAATTTCCAGCAACTTTTAAACATTTTAAAACCTCACTAACAAGCTGAAATTATGGTTTAAAACCTTTAAAACTCTCTCTTGAATAGAGTAATTAAAACCACAAAGTGAAAACTCAATTATAGTGTTCATATAAAAATTCCAGCATACTTTTTAAGGCTTAAACCCTTTAAAAAAAAAATCTGAAAATTATATTAAAACCACTTAAAATATTTTCTACTTATGGGTAATCAACTCCCTTTAATTAATACACAAAAGTAGTATGTAAATAAAAATTCCAGCATTATTCCATCAACAAAAACCCATTAAAATTTCATTAAAACTCAATAAAGATACAATCTTTAAGCTTTATTACCACTTATAATCAATGGGTAAATAAAACCCCCAAATCAATTGTGAGTTAGAACCCTAAAAATCAACACTTTAATAATTAAAACCCTAACTTTTAATACTTCATAAAATCTGAAAATTTAACACTTTATAATCTAAAATTTACAATATTTAATCATTAAAATATAATTATCAAACATACTAATCATGTTTAAACAATTAAAATCAAAACCCCAAAGTATATATTATAGGAATAATTATAAAAACAAAATAAAAGAGGAGAGGGAAGGGAAGAACCACCGTGGGTGGTGGCCAGCCAGCTGGGCGGCTGCTGGCCGGCGGTGGGGTTAGCGGGCAGCAGTGGCAGCAAAAAGGAAAAAGAATTCCCACGTGAAAGAACAAGCAAAAGAAAGGAAAAAAAATAAGAAAAGAAAGAAGAGGAAAGGAAAAAGGAAAAAGGAAAAAGAATAAGAAAAGGTAAATAAGAGGAGAAATAATTACCTTGACCAATTGACTTTTTGTGTGGGAAATTTTGGGGATAAATGGAGTATTTATAGTGTAGAGTAGGTTAGGGTAGGTTTGGGCTTCATAAAAATAATGCACTTAAATGATGAAGTAGGTGGCCCAAAAGTAAAAAATAGGATGATTGGGTTCATAATAAAGATGGGCTACGTTTGGATTAAATACTTGCTTTATCTATAATTCAATAATTAAAATAGTTTGACCTAAAATATATTTTATAATTAAATAAATAATTTATAAAATACATTAAAATACGGGGTATTACAGTCTACCCCCCTTAAAAGAAGTTTCGTCCCCGAAACTTAGGTATAAGAACAAGAAAAAGCTCGCTTGAAAACAAATAAATGTTTGTAAAATTTGAAAATTTCCTTAATATTTTTAGTTGTTGTATTTTTGTAATACTTACTTTCTACCTCATCTATTCATTCACACACAAATTAGTGTGTAAAGTAACTAACTTACTAACCAACTTACACAAAATAGTGTGTAAGATAATAACTTTACTAACAAACTTATACAAAATAATGTGTAAACTATTAGACTATATAACAAACTCACACTACTATTAGTGTAAGATTCAACTTTGGTAATAAACTTACACATCCTAGTGTGTAAAATAACCACACTTATCAACTAAATCAGTGTAAAACTGACGAAAAAGCACTTTAAAATGTCAAAATTAAGGAAAAAGCGCGTAATTCTATCGCACTCTACCCCCCTTAAAGAAAACGAGTTACGCCCCCGTAACTCCACTAAACTCAAATTTAGAATCATGTTGATCTTTTCTCATTCCATCTTTGGTAAGGTCATAACACTTCGCTGTATGCATTCTTTGTTGCAAACCAAAATTCTTATTAATTCTTACTTATTATACCAAAAATAATAAATTCCCATCTATACTATCTTTCACCCATCCTCTAGTAAAAGTATGAAGCACTTTGATATTCGAAACTTTGATTTGTCTAGCTTTTTCATGATCAAATTGGCTGAACTCAATAGATCTCTTTGCAACTCATACCTTTAGTTAATGTTCTTTCACAATGACTTATGAAAATTGTCTTATACTTTACCAAGGTCCGATAATATGCCAAGTTATTTACCACTTTACCAATTCTATGCAAATTCATATATATTTCTATATACTTTGGCTCAAATTTACTTTCTTACCAAAATTCATCTTTTGTCTTATGGGTTACACTTTCCATAACACTTGTGTCTTGTCCGTTGTTAAACTTGCACTACTCAGATCAAATCCATTCATGTATACTTTTCTTGCTTCGGTCACTAATGTTCCCCAACATAGTGAATTTTCATGGTTTTTTTTTATTCCAACCTCAAAATGTTGCCATACCAATGCTGGCTTGTATGGTGACTTTGTTACATCCTTTTCTGAAATTGAATACGCTTGTTTTCTGCATAAATTCCCCTGTCAAATATTATTTCGCTATTATACCAATGGGTGGAGGTTGTAATAGTCTCCAATGTATTACCAAAGTTCTCCTGTATACCTCCTTCTAGGATTTTGAAAGAAACTAGGAATTTTTATCTGACATGATATTTTCAGGAACTCCATGTAATCTCACAACGAAATTTGATGTAAGCCTTCGCAAGTTGCTCCATCTTTTAAGTCTCCTTCATCGGGTTTTAAACATTGCGGACTTAGACAATCTATCCACTACAATCCGAATAAATTAATCACTCTAAACCCTCAATACACCTTTACCAAATCATTTTTGCAGCTTGTCCTTTCCTGGTTGTATTACATTTCCTTTAAACCTCTTACTCTTACAAAGTATACTCAAGCTTTTATCTCCATGAATATTAAAGTGACATATCCTCTTACAAATTCGATCAAATTCACACTCTCTACTTGATTTTTTTTCATTTCCTCGAATATTGTTGGTCTCATGCTGTAGTTACCCCAACATTTTTTTTAACTTTCCTTTTCCAACACTTTCAAGGAGATTAATTTCCTTATTTTCCCTTAAATTTAACATTATTAGCAACGTATTTGCCCAATACATTACTTCCCTTTCAATGACATTGAATGTCTCTTCCACGGTCCTCTATCAACTCCAATAATTTCTTGTTACATATTTAAATCCTTGTGTGTGAGAGTTTATCTCAAACTTTAAACTTTAAAATTCATTCTCAAATAACATTAGTTTATACAAAGTTATTTCACACTTATTACTTTCCATGAACTTCCAATTACTCTTCACCAGGGCATTCACTTGTTAATAATCCTTTCGAATCTATCAAAATCTTCCACACCGTTGTCCAACTTTAACCTCAACTATAATTGTTGTATCACGGAGTCCATAATTCACCGCTTCTATCACTGTTACATCAACTTTTCCTCTTATTGTGAGGTTTCCCAAAAATGGTCCTTTCTCAATCACAACTCACACTCGGAAAAAACTTGCGTGCATTTGCTTTTCTCTAAGCATCAACACGTTTTATTACAGATGTTCACATCGTCCTTTCCTTCCCATTCTTAGAATTCACCAAAATACCTTCAATGAAAATACTGAATTCCATAAGTCCATGGAAATTATAGGTGATTCATTATCCCAAAAGGAAAAAATGAAAACTCGAATCGTCCAAACCTTGTCATAAGCGCCAAATTCTAAATATCCTCTTTCGAATATTTTTACTTAGTAGTTCTATCCTCAAGTCTAATATCGAAATTATATTTTCTCCTTTCATTTGATCAAACAAATCGTCGCTTTAAAGCAAAGGATAATTATACTTATTTGTCACATCGATCAATCCCCCATAGGCACATTACAAACACTTCCATCCCTTTCTTTAACAATTACATGCGCTCTCCAGGGTGATGTAACCTTCTTTCAATGACTTCAATAGTATCTTTCAATACCCTTCAAGAAATGCAACATTAACCCTTTCTCCACACGCAAATATGTCCATATAATACCTCCAACTTCACTTACCTGTATATCCTTGCTTATATTTCCCATGCTTACACCTTTTCTCCAATTAAATCCATAATCTTTCTTCTAACATCCTTTGAATAAATCTCGTGACCCTTAAATAATCTCAACTTCAATCACCTCATATACAATCCTTACTCAAGTTATTTCAACACATCTCAATCAAATTCATAAATCTTGTCATAAACTCTTTCTCCTTTATGACATTTTTACATCCATAGTTCAATATTCTCGACACTTTCAAGTATACAACGTCTTCATAATTCAAAATTCCTTAAGTACAAGACCAAAATATTCCTTTAAAGCTCTTTAGCCATTTTGTTGAACTTTCGCCTATTACCTTCTTTCTTGATTTGATTCCTTATCTTTATTTTTGATCTCACCTTTCTTTTAGCTAATATATGAATTGATTATTTATAATTCAATTCAATCAAACTCCCAAAGACTTTATGTCTTGAAAACCACCCTTAAACTCATAGTTCGCCATCCTTCAACTCATTCCCTTAAGTTTAAAGAAATATCATTTTCTTGAATACCGAGAGATCTTAACAACTTGGAGTACTTCTCGAAACCAAGTAATCTTTTCATTTCCACTTAATTAAACCTCACTATCATTTCTTTCTATCTGCATGAAAAACTGGTAAAACTTATTTCGGGTTTGTTATCTCAAACATCTCCAAATAAGATCGGATGTAAACATAACTTGTTCGTTCCCTCTGACATGGTAAAATCAACTATCTCCAGTAGTTACCATACAAACTTTTATTGACTCTCAAATTCTCAAGACACAAATTGTTTTTAAACAACTTGTATAACACTTTAACTCAACCGTCAAAACTTCATGAATTGATCTCCCTTTGGTTTATATATAGTTTTCACTTCTTAACACCATCTTGTTTCACCCTTTTCCCACTATGGGATTGTTGGTGGTTATATCCTCCGTGTCTCCTTGGCAATCTGTCAAGCTTGCCTTACTACCTTGTTTAAATAATTCCATTATTAAAATTGCTTCTTGTTACCATACTTTCTTGATGATAAAACTGGTTGTTATATAGGTTGGGTTGAAACACTTAGCTTCCTCTTATTCTAATCAATTAACACCAACCACTAAACTCAATCAAGAAACAATTATCATTTAATTCGAATTAAGGTGTGAGGTAAATTTTATTTTTTTTTTGTCCTCATTCCCAATAATTCGAATACATAAAATCTTGATTGATAAACAACCAAAATTCATATACTTAAACAAACACTCAAAAATAAAAAATAAAAAAAATATCCCCATTAACTGCTACTCACAAAGGGAAGAAAGAAATGAGTAGCACTTGGAAAACAATAGAAATAATAAGGTTGTTGAAAAACTCTAAAAGATTAGGTGAATAAATTCAAGAATTTTCTCCAAAATGATAGCATTGCTACCCATAATGACTCCTTGAAGTAAAATAATTATCCTCATATCCCAAGTGAAAGAATAAATACTCATAACTCCTAAATAACATATGTTAATATTCTCAAGGTTGAACATGTGACAATGTATTTAAGGTCCAACATAACAAGAGTCCTCAATATTCCAACAAGATCATAACTTCTCAAAACTCCAACCATATATTAAAATATATATGCTCAATTCTCCATCCCAAATTAAATAACTTTAATCATAAGAAATGATAAGTCACTAAGCTTAAAATGTCAAACTTCAATTGATATTGAGTATCCCTCAACTCATATAATAACTTTCATCATTACTCATCTCTAATCAAGTCCTATGCTCACCTCTCTTGGGCTCTTGTTCAATTCGATTCCAATTCAAACTCATACTCAAAGACAAAACATATTCCTCTGAATAGATAATATCCCCAAATGATTTCATCCTTAAACTCCTTAACCATATGCATTAAAATCAATCTCTTTATCCTTATAACTTGGTGTCTCCATACACAAGTGTACAAAACTCAAATTACTCATTTTTAATATCTAGACAACGTATCTTAACAACAAATTATCCCAAAATAATACTCACATTCATGTGATGATGTGCATCCAAAATTTCTTCGAAAATACATCTCAAATAAGACCATTGAAGCGAACCATCCTAACATAAGCAATTGAACTCTCAAAATCCTTAACATTCCTCAAAATTCTCATTATAGAAACTCACAGGGTATAGGTTTAGGGATCCTACAAGAAAACGGGATCAACTACCAATAGGAAACCCTTCCCATAACCATATAATACAGTTCTTGCATATAATTAAGTTCGATGTTCAATCAAACAATCTTGGTAGCTCACATATAATGATTCACATATTACATGTTGTCATCAATAAACATTTAGTCATACAACATGCTTGAACACCTCTTAAAATATATATATATATATATATATATATATATATATATATATATATATATATATATATGCACATAGGAAAGAAATTAAATTCTAGCCTATATGCCCTTTCTTCTCCTACCCAAGCTCACCAACATGCTTATAAAAGCTTTTAACACATATTTCTTACCTCAATCCTTGCTTTCCTGCAACATAAACAAACTAAAAATATTCAGATGCTCTTCATAAAAAAAAAAAAAAAATTGGTCATTCCTAAAATAAAAACAAAAATGAAATTCAAAACAATTTAGTTTAACACCGTTTAATTTAATAAGCACTTGGCCAAGTTTTAAAACAAAACACTTTAAAATACTTTTTTATTTTTTTTGCTTTAGTGGTAATAAAATCTCAACCTAAGCTCCTAGATACCACTTTGTAACACCCTAGAAATTCCTTTCCTTTAAATACCCATTCTACTCTTTTAAAAATACGATTTAGGAATAACTAAGACACTACCACCACCGTGAAAACGGCTAAGGCAATTATCAAAGATACACAGCGGAAGACTCAAAATTAAAAACCGATTAAACAAGTCAACCCAAAGTCAACCAAACGAAAATAAAGTTTAAAACCAAACGGACAAGTCAAATAAAATCAAACTATAACTTGGAACCATTAAAGTCCCTTATTCAAAAACCGTTCCCAAAACCAAACCTTTGTGTTAGTCCACACAAAATATATCATAAATAGATAAAGAATAAAACACCTTGTAACCTAATGAAAACTAGTAAGATTCACTCTTCTCTCATGCCCCATCATGCTCATGCTTCAATGCCTGAAAAATTTATCTCTACTTGTTTCCACTACTCTCCATTAAAAATGGGTCATCATAGGGCCAAGATAAAGACATGGTCAAATACAAAAACACACACAATCAGCAAAGCTGAGTACATAAGCGTAAATTAGCCACACTAACATGCTTTCACGTATCAACACACACTTACCTCATTGCACCTGTTCACAAGCACACACACCAATCAACAAAACACAATGACTAGACACTAATTAATTCATTTTTCATTGATTATGCATCGAACGGGTTTCCACCTCCTAACCTCCCCCAAATAAATTTGAGGTAAACTGACACGGGAGCTAACCGTGCCAGCGACAAAACCACTCAAAGGTGGCGGAATTCCTACGCATAATAATAAATAAAAAAAAGGAATATACAGCGTCCTGTACACCATTAGAAGTTATGGTTAAATATAAAACCCCATAACTCCCCCCATTGTTCATACTCAAGGTATATACGTTCCAAGAGTTTTGGTGCGTAATCTCTTTCACTCTACGTTATTTACATATTATTAGACTTGGTGATGACTCTCAAAGCATAATAAGTCAATCAACAATAATTATTCAATCAAACAAACATACCAATTTAATTCTTGAATAATTAGTGACCACATATTATTTATTGTTGAACCCCTTTTTAATTCTACCTCAGTGTCAAAGACACCTTAAACGCATAATGCGCCAAAAATCATATCCCTCGGTGTTAAAAACACCTTAAGTGCACAAAGGCACCAACATACAATTTATTCCTTGTGTATATAGACACTTATATAGCTCCTTCCTCATGCTTAAAGCATCAATAAAATTTATTTGAACCATAATAAAATTCCTTTTCAATATTCCAAACATAATTAAACATGTAGTTTAATTAATCATGCCTTCTAACATGTCATAAATAAAAATGTGGTTCAAACACAACATGCCCAAAATATAACCTTCCAATCTATAACCATCACAAATAATTCATGCTTCCCAATTCAACCACAAACATCATAAATTCACAATTCCATACATAAACCTTAGCATGATACTACTTGTAATTAATTGAAATCAAACCTAGCATGATTCTACATCACCAAAATATGCTAAGTACGCGTACGTACCTCAATTAAGCTCTTAAAATGGTCAATTACACTACAACACCTCTCGAACCAAGTCTCCTACATAAAGGGACAATAAACCTATATTAATTACCTTAGTATACACAAATTTCCAGCAAATTTTAAACATTTTAAAACCTCACTAACAAGCTGAAATTTTGGTTTAAAACCTTTAAAACTCTCTCTTTAAGAGAATAATTAAAACCACAAAGTGAAAACTCAATTATAGTGTTCATATAAAAATTCCAGCAAACTTTTTAAGGCTTAAACCCTTTAAAAAAATCTGAAAATTATATTAAAACCACTTACAATATTCTCTACTTATGGGTAATCAACTCCCTTTAATTAATACACAAAAGTAGTATGTAAATAAAAATTCAAGCATTATTCTATCAACAAAAACCCATTAAAATTTCATTAAAACTCCATAAAGATACAATCTTTAAGCTTTATTACCACTTACAATCAATGGGTATATAAAACCCCCAAATCAATTGTGAGTTAGAACCCTAAAAATCAATACTTTAATAATTAAAACCCTAACTTTTAATACTTCATAAAATCTGAAAATTTAACACTTTATAATCTAAAATTTACAATATTTAATCATTAAAATATAATTATCAAACATACTAATCATGTTTAAACAATTAAAATCAAAACCCCAAAGTATATATTATAGGAATAATTATTAAAACAAAATAAAAGAGGAGAGAGAAGGGAAGAACCACCATGGGTGGTGGCCGGCCAGTTGGGCGGCTGCTGGCCGACGGCGGCGTGGCAAGTGGTGGCAGACCGGCGGTGGGGATGGCGGGCAGCAGTGGCAGCAAAAAGGAAAAAGAATTCCCACGTGAATGAACAAGCAAAAGAAAGGAAAAAAAATAAGAAAAGGAAAAAAGAAAAAGAATAAGAAAAGGGAAATAAGAGGAGAAATAATTACCTTGACCAATTGACTTTTTGTGTGGGAAATTTTGGGGATAAATGGAGTATTTATAGTGTAAAGTAGGTTATGGTAGGTTTGGGCTTCATAAAAATAATGGACTTAAATGATGAAGTAGGTGGCCCAAAAGTAAAAAATAGGATGATTGGTTTCATAATAAAGATGGGCTACGTTTGGATTAAATACTTGCTTTATCTATAATTCAATAATTAAAATAGTTTGACCCAAAATATATTTTATAATTAAATAAATAATTTATAAAATACATTAAAATACGGGGTATTACAATAATAGTAAGAAAGATGATAAAAGAGAGTTTTTTTTGTGTCAGAAATTCTACCTTGTAACCAAGCAAATCATAAGTATTTATACGAAGATGATTAGGCCATATGACTTGCATGTCATCAGGCCATGTGGCTTGCGTCCACATGATGGAGATTAACTGACCACGTGGCTAACCATGCATATATATATGAGAAATTTTATATGCTTATATGACCTTAGGTACGGTATAGAAAGTAAGCATTCATTGGGGTGTGACCCGACCTGGATCCATTGTTACCAGGGCATAGCGGCACCGATAACATCATATACAACAAGCCCACGTGCCACCGTGTCATATTGTGCTCATATGCTTAAATCATGTTTGATTGTGCTTAAATTAATCATGTCGTGCATAGAAGAAGAACATGGCCTAAGTTAAGCCGCCATTGCATTGCTCACACACTTCATAGGGCCAACTTCTTTAATTCTATTAAACTAATACGTAATATAAACTACAAGATATTATATCAAAGAGGGCAATTTAAATCGCCCTCTTAGATTCAAATTTCGCCTTATTAGGCAAAAAGGGCGATTTTGAAATCGCCCCCAAGTCGCCCTATTAGCTTCGTCCTATTAGCTTCAAAGGGCATACAAATTTTTCGCCCTCTTTGTTAAATATCAAAGAAGGCATAAAATTTCGCCCTCTTTGATCAAAATCAAATAGGGCAAAAAATTTCGCCCTCTTTGATCAAAATCAAATAGGGCAAAATTTTCGCCCTCTTTGATTGAATCAAGCAAGACGAAAATTCTTTTTGCCCTCTATAAAGCAACTCAAACAAGTCAATTCATGTTGCCCTCCTTGCTCAAAATTCGCCCTGTTTGATCAATTTTTAAAGGGCAAAATCAAAGTCGCCCACTTTGTTCAAATTTTTTTTTTTTAAAATAATAATTCTAGGTGCCAATAGGCTTAAATTTTCTATAATAGGTGCTAATAGGCATAAATTTTAATTTGGTCATTATATATACAAAAGTATTAACCAAGTTTTCTAGTAAATATATACAAAAGTATTAACCAAGTTGTCTATCAAGCAATCTTCTCATCCTTGCAACTAGCCTTTTGGTGTCCTCCATCCCCAAAACATTGACTTGATCCCCTAACTGCAAACTTGACAAAAATAAAACTAATGTAAATTAATAAAGGTCATGGACAGCTTCTTCTTCCAAGCGCTTTTTACCCTTTGGTCGACCAGATCTTTTCACATCCGGTTCATTAAGTAACAACAAAGCTTTCTCCATATCAATATCATTAGCAATCACACTCTGCATTCATGAAGGAAAACACATTGATCCATCAGTCACTAAAGCAATGAACAAAAAAATATAAAAAATAATAAAAAATAATTCTCTATAGTTGTTTAGATAATCAAAGCTGCAAATGCCTTCAGCAGTTCAGCCAAAATTCATTGTTATCAATCTTAAATACCAAGTAAAAAAAAGCTCACCACCACCACCAACAACAACAATAGTAATAAACACCTTATGGTGAATGAAAAAAGGCTCGTATCTAGGTCTGAAAATTTCATACTCCAATTTTTTAAGCACCCAAATAGATAATTGCCCCAAAAAAGTCACAAATCTCCAAAAAAAAAAAAAAAAAGAATATAACAGCAAAATTTGTGCTAGAATAATCATAAAAAAAATTCATGATCCCAGAAAAAATTGACAAATTCAGGGAAAATGCAGAAGAACCCAGAAAAATTAAGCAAGAAAAAACCTTGGGATAAGATCGGAAGCTAGAAATGGCAGCATTTCGAGCAGTAATTGAAGCAGCAGAACCAATTGCAGAGGAGAAGAATCTAAATCCTTCATTAGAAGAAGAAGGTCTGCAACTGCTGGAATTATTCAGAAATCCCTTGACATTATTGTATAAAATGGAATTCAAAGCTTTGTTCTTCTTCAACAATGACACAACTCTGTTCATTTTTGCTTCTCTCTTGGGTTTCAAGGGTTTAGTGGCTTCAACAGCTTACACGACTGAGGTTTTAGAGGAGGTTTCGCCCAAACTATAAACTTTTTTTCTCACTTTGCTAGGATAGTTTTGAGGTGAAGCAGGTACTCAGACAAAAAAATGAGGATATAGAAGGTTGATGTTTAAATTAAAGTTGTTACAGAAAAAGAGAAGAACACGAAAAGCAATATTAGACTTCTCGTTCTAGGTCTGAAAATTTCATGCAACATAGCTAGCACAAGACCAAATTATTATCCCATTTTAATCCCATAAACAGAAGGTTTGGAAGTTAAATCCTTTTTTCCATAATATAGAAGGTTATATCAAGTTGTCCTCAAAATATGAGTACCATGACCGTATATGTGCACTTACAGAGGCCTATATTCATGAGATCATGACTGATAGGCAACAATAACAACTAATCCTATCAAAACCACTAGCAAAAAAACAGGCAAAACATAGAGCATGAAATACAAGGCTGAAACTGTTGATACTTTAATTTACTCGAACATAAAAAAAGAGAGTACTGATTCAGTTACTGAGAAAAACATATATAAAGAGCAACCAACAGAGGTAAACAAGTTGGAAGAAATAGCAATGTAGGACATTCTGTCATGTTTAGTACCATATATACATAAGAATATTAAAATTCAAGGAAACATTCATGGCTTGAAAATGCATCCACAAGGCAATTTTATGCAAAGAGTGAGCTAGAAAATATTACCTCTATCAAGCATCAAGGCCAATCTTCTCCATGATTAACCGAAGCTTTTGTTCTAGGTCTTCTTGTTTCTTCTTAGACGCTTCCAATTCAGCTCGCATAATATTATTTTCATTTTGTAGTTTTTCAACATTATGTTCCAGCTCAGCTCTCCCTATCTTTCCATCTTTAGACGACACCGGGTGCCCTTTGCCTAAACCACGGGCATAACCTGAACGATGTCCAAGAACCTTCACATAAGCTTCTTCAAGAGTAAGATTATCAACCCCCTTTTCACTAATTTCTTTCTCATGCAACTCCCTTAATTCCTTGAACTTCTCCTCGGCCTCATCGTCAAACTTCCCATTTTTATGCCTTACAAGATAAAACAAAGTAAGAATTTTAAAATAAAGAAAAAAAAAGTGTTCGTGCATTAGACAAATATTCAATATACCTCTTTGACTTCTCCCATAACTTTAAATACATGGGATCATCATTAGCTTTGGATGCAGTGGTTACATTTGAACTAGAACCATTGATTTCGGTGACCTCATTCTCATTTTCACAAGCTTGTGCCTCAAGTTCCTATCAAATCATATACATACACTTTAATTTCAGTAAGATCAATCCATTTAGGAAACAATAATAATCAGAGCAACAAAACTAGAAATGTGAGCCAGAAGATCATCTGATGTAACCACAATGAAAATTCCACCAACAGACTGTGTTACTAATTGGTAACTGATTATTTGATATCCAAATTAAAGGAAAACAGAACCAGAAATTAAGATTCAGATTAGGATGGTCAAAAACAGAAACTGAACCAGAAGATCATCTAAATGATCAGATTAATTTAAACATTTATACTCACCAATTCATAAATTATGCAAGTTGTTGATTTCGCACCACATGTCAACTTGATCTTCTTTGCAAGAGCATTAGCCCGATTCTTCTCACTCCCTTCCTAAAGGTTACAAAATAGCATATAGGATTAGTAAGGGGAAGAAATGCAAATTGCAGAATTTTGATTACAAGAGCATTCCTATTACTTACCTTCTGCTTAGGAGAGCTCCAATAGTTATAAACAAGCCACTTCCATTAGTCAAGATTTATTGAAGGTGGGCAAGCACGCTCCGCCTCTAATAAAGATTTTCTATTTGAAAAATAGTCAGCCTTCAACCTTTCTCTCCAATGCCTATAAAGGGTGGAGCATTGAATCTTTATTGCTTTGCAAATGTGTGCACCTTCACCCAATTCGTACTTTGACTACAAGAATATTTAAATTTAGTGATATGAACTTTGACTACAAGTGTTTGTCTAATAATAGCAGAAAAAAAGCATAAAGGAACAATCAAAAGTACTAAATCAGCAGACCCAAAAATTACAATACCAACTGACATTTCAATTAAGCCTAAGAAATAATCACTTATGCACACCTTTATCCCCTTGTTTGATGATAAATATTGATCATAATTCATAGTTACATAAAGTTAATTAGTCCCATGCTAATCCCAAAAGTATTTAGCAACGGAATATTTTCCATGAAAACTAGAAAACAGAACAGAATCATGCAACTCAGTCAACATGCACCACTCCAAACATTTTAGAGAGTCATTAAGATTGAATTTGCAAGATTATATACCTTAATCCTTGCATATAATCGATCTGAAATCCCTTCAGGCATATCACTCCATTTAGGAACATCAAGGGGGAAAATCTCCTTCACCCAGTAAGCACACTCAGCAACAAATTGATTTTCACGCTCACCCACAACAGCTCCTAATGCTGGAGGAATATTAACCTTGAGCTTTCCGGGTTGAATGCTTTGCAACTTTTTATACTTGAGTGCTCTACTTGGACCACGAAAGGGACCTAATTGAAAATACATTACACAAATCAGCTAGGAAATAGAACTATAAATAGAAAACAGAACAGAAAATAGAACACATTACCTTTTCTTTTCTTAGGTTGTTGAGAGGTCGACCCTACAAACTCATTACTATTATTATTAGAATCTAATTGCGATAATGATGATTGAGTCTCCAGATTCATTGACCCTACAAAATCATAAATATAAAACAAAATCATAAATAGGAAACAGAAAATAAATAGCAAAACAGAAAACAGAAACAGAAAACAAACAACAGAAACAGAAAACAAACAACAGAAACAGAAAACAAAATTGATATAACAAATTTTGACATATAAAACATACAGTGAGTTAAGTAGTAAACTTACCAGATGATGAATAATACTTAATAGAAAACAGAAAATAAACAGCAAAACAAAAAACAAACAACAAAAACAGAAAACAGAAACAAAAAACAAAATAAAATTATAGACAGAAATAGAAAACAAAAACAGAAATAGACTTATAAAACCAGTAGCTTATTTTACATAAGTTTGAGATTTAAAAAAAAAAAGACAAAAGATGGAATAGCAACAAGCTTCTTTTCACATAATGATGAATTAATGATTAAAAGAATAAAAAGATATAGAAGCCTTACTCCACAAATGGTTGTACTTCTGGACAATTCATAAGAACATTTAATTGAGCTTGCTCCCAATCTAAAATGCTCAATTGCTTGAATGTTCTTCTACCTAATGGATTTCCCTTGTTTTGAAAAACGGATAGTTAAAACAATGGAGAATGATAATTCTTATCCAAGTCATTTCTACTCATGCGATTGAATTTTGTCTCAACACCACTTAAATATCTAGAGACGAAGGTAAGACATTCTTCCATTATACGGGCATTAGCTATAGAGCCTTCTGGTTGAGCTTTGTTAGTTGCAGTAGGCGGCTTCATGGTGTACATTTCCCTACGAGAAATAACCTTATTAAATGATGCCACAAATTAAACAATCACATATAAATGTAAATGAGCCACAAGATTACCTTTCAAATCGATATTGCCAACAATATTGCACTAGCCCAGCAAGCTTGGCCTCAGTAGCCAAGTGGATTGGGAGGTGAATCATAATATCAAAGAATGATGGAACAAACACCTTTTCAAGCTTACAAAGAGTTATTGCAATACTCTTTTCCAATCGCTCCAACACATCAATTTTTAGAGTTTTGGAGCACAATTGCTTAAAAAACAAGCTTAGCTCAACCAAAGGTTCTAACACTTGCTTAGGCAAAATGCCTTGAAATGCCGGTGTAAGCAAATCTTGCATAAAAACATGACAATCATGGCTTTTCATGTTCGAGATTTTTCCATCTTCTACACTTGCACATCGAGCTATGTTAGAAGAGTAACCATCTGGCACTTTAACCTTAGACAACCACTCCGATACTCTACGCCTCTCAAGCAATGTCAATTGATAAGGAGCTATAGGAATTGCATATTTATCACCTATCTTGATAGGTCTCAATTTCTCATGCATGTTCAACTTCAACAAATCCTTTCGTACGTTCAAAGTGTCCTTTTTCTTATTAAGAATATCAAGTACAGTTGCTAAGATACTATCACAAATATTTTTTTTCAATGTGCATCACATCTAAGTTATGCCTTACCAAAAGCTTACTCCAATAAGGGAGTCTAAAGGAGGTACTAAACTTCTTCCATTGGTCAAATAAGTATCTTTGAGTTCTCTTTCTCTTCTTCCCAAATATCACATTCGGAACACCATCAAATGCTTCTACTATTTCATCCCCCGACAAAGGGATAGGAGGTGGTCGTCTTTCTGTTTCTCCATTAAAAGATTTTCTATCCATTCTCCATCTATGATCAGGATCCAAGAATCTTCTAGTACCATCAAAGAATTCTTTCCTTCCAAGCTTCAATCTCTCGTGTGAGGTATCTTTGTGACATGATGGACAAGCAAGTTTACCAGAATTACTCCAACCACACAAATTTCCATAAGCGGGAAAATCACTCATTGTCCACAATAGGGCTGCCTTCACTGTAAAGTTTTGGCGACTATGTGAATCATAAGTTTTCACCCCAACTTCCCATAATTCTTGAAGTCCATCAATCAATGGTTCTCAGAACACATCAATATCTATTCCAGGAGACTTGGGACCGGGAATTAGGAGTGACAACATGATGTATGGACTTGTCATGCACATCCATGGTGGAAGATTATATGGCACCAAAAACATTGGCCAAATGCTATAATTAGCGCCAAAATGTCCACCAAGATTAAAGCCATCAGTCGAAAGACCTAATCTCACATTACGTGGATCGATTGTAAACTCCGGAAATGACTCATCAAGCTTCTTCCATGCCATTGAATCGGATGGGTGCCTTAATATGTTGTCATCAAGTTGTTGCCTCTCTTTATGCCATCGCATGTGCTTTGCAATTTTCAATGACATGAAAAGCCTTTGAAGCCTTGGCACTAAAGGAAAATGGCGAAGAACCATACGAGGTACTTTAGGCATTCTTTGTGAGGCCCCTTGAGATTCTGAGAAAGTAACACTATCATCAAATTCACCGCTACCTTCCTTCCATCTAGACTCCTCACAAATAAGGCATGAATCAACATTTTCATACTATTTTCTATAAAGTATGCAATGATTGACACAAGCATGAATCTTCACATAATTCAACCCAAGGTCTTTTGTGTACTTCTTGGCTTCATAAGAGCTTTTTGGAAAGTTTGGGTCATAGTTAAAGGCCTTTTGTAATGCACTAAGAAGCCTATTAAATGATTTCTCACTCCAACCCCCACTAACCTTAAGGTGTAAAAGAGTTACAATGAATTCAAGCCTTGAAAATGTTTTACAACCCAAACATAGCTCTTCTTCTGCATCTTTCATCAATCTATAAAATTTATCGGGAATCTCAGAACAATCTCCATCCCCTCCATCCCCGTCGTGCTCCTCTGGCACTACATTTGTCGCATCATGTACCAAAGAAGCCATCTCTTCTGATACAAGAGGACCTTCATCATATAACTCATCACCTTCCTCCTCGGACATCTCCATCTCACCGATGTCAAGGGATTGTTCCTCCCCATGGAATACCCATGGATTGTAATCAGGGTCTATTCCCACTCGAAGGAGATAAACATGCATTGTCGCTCGGTCATGGTCAAATTAATTTAGACAATTCAAACAAGGACACCTCTTCTTATCCCTAGAATTAGGGTTAGTGTCCTTGAAAGCAAAATCAAGAAAGTATTTAACACCATTTCGGTAACTTGGTTGAAGCCTACCATTCAACCCTTGAACATGCATCCAACTTCTATCATTATCTATTCTATATTACATAAAACAATATATAAGTATACCACACTGTTATAAAAAAAGGTGGATACATGCATCTTTTTAATCATCCATGTTTAAAAAACATCACACTTTCTATCAAACTTAAATTCATTAGTGAGTACTAAATTAATTATAATACTTTTAGCTTACTGCAATGTTGGGCAACCTTTTACTTGATCATCAGTTTCATCATATTATTTCACCTAATGTATGCTTTTATAAGATTAATTAGTAACCTTGTAGTCAATTTAAATGTACACTGTTATACCCTTGGATGTTTGGTGAATATTACCTCACTGGCTCACTACTAGCTAGTATAATACTATAATATAAACAGCAGCTTTAGCAACTAAGATGGCACATGCGCATATTTTCAGATAGAGTAATCAATTATCACAATTCATAGTAATCAAAACAAATTACAATTATCCCAATTCACAGTAATCAATACCTCATACGATCAATTAAGCAATTAATTCGATAAACCGCTGATAAAATACGAATAATTCTGATTAGCTTCTCCATAATCTATCTGACATTACTAGCATAAATAACAACTCCCAAAAACTTGCAGAATTAACAAATTGACAAAAAAAATTGACAAATGTAGAGCAATACTAACATGCAGGAACAAATTGACAATAAAAAAATCAACAAATTTAGAGCAATATTAACATGCAGGAAAAAATTGACAAAAAAAAATCAACAAATTAAGAGCTTAATCATATAGTTTTGAGCCAAAATTTACCAAAATTTTGAGACACAATTAGAGCGACTTCGAGCAATGATTTGGAGCGAAATCTGACTTGCAATCTGACCGACTTCGAGCAATGAATCTGAACGTCTATTAGGAGTGAAGAATTAGAGCGAAGAATTAGGTCAAAGAATTAGAGCGAAGAATCATAGATTTGCGATTTGCGATTTGGGGTTCATACATTTTTGGGGGAAAACATTCAGAGAGAAAACGTTTAATTTTTTATGTCCTTTTGTTTTGATAGAGAAAACCTTTGTTTTATTTTATTAAAATGTTTATTAACCAACGAGGGCAAAAAAGGAATTCTCCCTCTTTGCTATTGACCAAGGGCGAAAATAAAACTGTTTGTTTTTTTTTTGTTTTGTAAAATAAAAAAAACGTTCACTTTGTTATTTTATTGAACAACGAGGGCGAAACTGGATTTCGACCTCTTTGCTCTATTATAGAGGACGATTTTGTGAATTCGCCCTCTTTGCTATATTATAGAGGACGAAAAATAAATTTGCCCTGTTTGCTTTGAAGTATAAAGACGAAAGTAACATTGGCCCTCTTTGCTTTGTAATAAAAGGGCAATTATAATTTCGCCCTCGCCCTCCTTGATCAATGTTTATCGCCCTCTTTGATTTTTTTCTTGTAGTGATATGGTCAGTCAGTAGATCGAGACATAATATTCTTGAACACTAGAAATTAAAGTACTAACTCATCTTACGAAACAATTATGGGCCATATCACTTAAAATTATCCACTACATCATCACACATTCACACCACCCTACATACTCCATCAATCGATCAAAAAAGGTAGTTAGGTAATTAATCTTACCAAAAGAACCAAAAAATTACTAGAGCATACGAAGCCTCTTAATTAGTAAACCCTTTGAAAGGGCAAAAAGGGGTTGCTAAAAACCAACAAGTCAATCTATTTTGTCAATTACTAACTAGTATCTAATTTGCTTTGACTAAACAAGTTCTTAACTTCAAATTAAAGATGATAAGGAGATGTAGCTTGGATCCGATGCTTTCGCTTTTCGAGAAATTGTCTCAACGATCTCGAAAGGCCGGTTTGTGGCAATCTTTGAGATTTGTTGCGATGCGATTGTAACGTTGAGATATGGTCTTCCTGTTGTGGCCGGAGATTTACACATTCCTTCTGTTGTTTTTCCGCTTGCTAGATTTATTACACATTTTTCCTGTATATATAATAGACACAAATCTAGTTAGCTCATTTTAGAGATAAAATTACGTGGTAATACTTTTGGAACATATTGTTCACATTGATAGGTTTTCTAGATCACTTCATAATGTCACCTATTAATTATTGAAAGAATGAAATAATTTCTATGTGAGAGGAGCATAGAAAATATGAAATGTGTCTTACACCCAACTAACCTAAAATTATGTTTTATAATTAAATGAAAATCAATCATCAAAATGAGAACAAAATGTTAATAGGCAGGTATGATATTGGCATACCATCATGTAAGAAGAGTATTTTTTTTTGGGTGTTCCACCCGATTCACCCGATGGGCTAATTCGGATTCGAGGATCAGTTCTGGGTGGTTAGGTTCAAGTCCCTTCCCGATTGTTGTCGTGGGGGATCGAATACGAGTCATCCCTACCAAGTGTAATCCCAATCACTATTACATCAACAACCAACTGGTAAGAAAAGATCATAGCCCCACATAATTAATGTAATGTTACTCCCACGATCTCTGTTCCATAATTAATTATTTCTTCAGTTCTTACTTTATAGTACTATTTGGACTTAAATTTCACTCTATTCACCTATTCTCTTTGGACCATCTATGTAGTTCATTAATAAGGAAAAATATAGTAAGAGCTTGTCAGATTTATTACAATGTATACTTTCAAATAAAATACAATTATATCAACGTTTTATAAATGTTTTTATACAATAGACAAATAAATTAATTGATGCCATACAGTATGTTGTTAATTATTTTTATTACTTGTATGTATAAGATCAAAAGATAATTAAAAATAATTTCAAAAATACAAAAGTTCATACAAATAATAATAGGGTTTCTGATCTCCGAATCCGGAATAGCCCAAAGGGTGAACCTCGGGTGAAACATAAAATAATAATAATAATAATAATAATAATAATAATAATAATAATAATAATAATAATAATAATAATAAGTGTTTTAGACCCTCTTAAATTTTTATTGCTGAAGTGAAATTATTTTTACCGAACTAAAATTATTTTTGGTGAACTAATTAATTAAAATTAATTTTGCTGACTAAAATTATTTTTTTTACTGATTCTCTGCTAAATTTCTTCTTTACAAAAATTGATTTTTACCAGTCTAACTAAAATTATTTTCACTTAACTTAATTTTTACTAAAAAGAAATTATTTTTGCTAAAGTAAAATAAAGAAAGAATTATAAAGTAGTCTCTCTTTCACAAGGTTCTTCTTTATTGCATTTAAAGATTTGACCATGCATATCTTAAAACTTATATCTAGAGGCGTCAATTGAAGTACCTAGGTCGAGTTTGGAGAGGTCAAGTATAAAATCATAAAATATATTTCAAATTTCAAAATCACATTATAAAGAATATAGCAATGTTTTGAGTACGTATTAATGTTTTCCATTATATAAGCTTGTAAATTTTATGACTTTTGCCACATTAATTGAAGAGTATATCATGGAACAACATGAGAAGAATTATACACAAGATCTCACATGATAAAGAATTTCATTACTTGTTGCATAGAATATCTAATTAAATTCATGAAATTAAATTAATCTTTTATCAAATGAAATATTTAAATTGCATGCTTCAAAAAAAAAAAAAAAAAAAAAAAAAAAAAAAAAAAAAATTATATTGCATAATAAGCTACCCGATCCGATCCAGCCCTTAGAGTGTGTACACCGAATTTACATCATGCAATTGAAAATATTCCAATTAGAATATTCAAACAAGAATCAAACTTCATTTAACTAATAAAACCCCATTCTTTAAAAATTAAAATAAAATAACAACCCATTAATTTTGTTTTATAAAAACATGAAAAACAGATAAAATGAATGGTAACATAAAATAAAATAAAAATTCCTGAGCTTCAGTAACATCACAAACACATATCTTTCCATTATAAAAAAAATGGTCATCTGTCCTTCCTTCAAATTATCTCCAATAGAACCTCTGTTAATTAAAAACAATTAGTTAAGTAAAGCACTTAATTAATCAATAATCACATTTTACATCTATCTTCTAGAGAGAGAAAGTGCATACGTGGATATCGTAGAAGTGGTAGAAGAGATAGACGTGGAAGAAGGTGATAGGCCAAGCTCAAGATTATAATCCATACTAATTTAATTTTATAAATATCTTGATTAAAATTTGTTTAGAGTATAATTTTAGAGTGAGAAAGAAGGAAAAATGAGGAGTGAATATAAATGATCAGGGTTGAAAGTTAGGCAGAGTTATAAATTATAAAAAACATGTGGGAGAATGGAAGGTTTAGAGAAAAGAGCACGTGAAAACTGAAGGCAAGTCTGCTACAAAACACAACACTTGTTTGCTTTGTTGCATGTTAATTCACACACGTGCCATCACTTGTCGACATGCAGTGCCCTCGTATGCATCATTTTTTGACACGCACTTAACGTTTATGGATTTCAAAATTTCAAAAATTTAGACTTTTTTTTAGGGAATAAGAAATTTACTTTAAAAGGCATGCCAACTAGAAGTGTAAGTTGGGGTAACCAGATGGAGTTTCGGTTGACCTACAGCAATTCGGATATATTTGGGTTAAGGTTACTCTTTTAAGTTTTAACCCACTTTGATATGGGTAAATTTGGGTCAAGGTTTGTCGAATTAGGTTTTTGTCAATTTTAAATCGGTCCTATTTGATTTGGGTAAATTCGGATCAGGTTTAAAATGGATTTGACCAGAATAATTTTAAGCCAGATGATTTTGGATTAGGTTGATTTCAATTTGATTAAGTTTAATCTGATTAAGATAAGGTTGATTTACTATTGTTTCAATTCTAATTTCTTTGCTTGCTTGTGTTAACCGTGTATATTGATATGCTTGGTTGATAGCCCTAACCATGAAAAAATTAATTTTTGGTAGGAGATTAGACCAATTTAGCTAGCTTGAAAGAGTAATTATAGTACAACCGGAACCCTCAATTGATCCCCAATGTTGTTATCTTATTTAGATGGTTTTGGTTTGTTATTGACTTGATTAATATGTACTTTCACAAGGTCATTTTTATCCTATTGGTATTGTTTGCTTTTTATAGTTTTTTCACTGTAACTCATAAGTCATAACCCATACAAGAATCAGACTTGTCATAAATTATGTGTCTATGATCCTCTTAGTCATTTAAGGATCGTCTCTTGTCCCTTGTTTGCTTGCCTTTTCTACCCAATAGAGATATCAAGTTATGTTTTTGTTTTTGATACCACAATTTTACACTCATTTTTTATAATTATCGTGCAATTAGTAGATTTTAAGAGCATTATAAAACATTAGTATGTAAAAGGTTTTTTTATTTTTATTTTTATTTTTTATTTTTATTTTTATTATTTTTTATTTTTAAAACTTTAAAGATGATGAATAGAACAAAATTTAAATAAGATTGGAGAAAAATAGACAATATTTTGGAGATAGAGAACTCAGATGAGAAATTGAGTTTCGAATATTCCAAGTTCTAAACACATAAAAAATTGTGTGTTCAGGATGTGGTTAATAATCTATGCTATTAAAAATCCCTCAAAAAAATCTAGCCTATTAAAAAATCTCCTAAATAACTAATACATTGGCCTAGATATATTTCCAATTACTAATAAAAGTGCACTCCATTTTCAATAACTTTGCATTTTTGCAACTACTTATTAGTGATCGATCATTTGTTTAATAATACAATTGTTCAAGCTATCTTGGATCTTGCTCTTCTTTTCTTGCAAAAGTTATAGTCCTTCAAAGCAGAGGAGGACCTTCCCAGGGGCCATTCGGGGCCTAGTTCCCGAGAAATTATTATAATTAATTAATTAATGGTTTTTTTTTTGGAAAAAATTTCTTGAATAATCCGACCTTTGGCTCATCCGTTGAAAATAATCCTACATTTTGATTATTTTTAAATAATCTGGCCTTTAATACCAATCCGCTATGAATAGTCCCAACCGGTCATTTAACTTGTTATAGCAAGTTACATGAAACGTGTTAACATTTAATTGGTCAAAAAAATAAAATTATTATTATTTTTTAAAGTAAAAATAAAAAAATTACTAAATTAATTACAAACCACCCCATCATCCCAACCACCCTCTACTGCCGCCCACCTGTCAACCACCTACCAGCTCGACCCCCTGTCTGCCAACCAACGCCAGAGCGCCGCGCCGACCGCTCTCCCCTCCCCTAAACTGTCGTC